GAAAAATACAAACTTCTAAAAGCACACAAAGTTAAAGAAGCACAAATTATAATAACAAACTATTGATATGAAAGGAAAAGCAAAGGGTCTGACTAGAAATTATTATAGGGTGGGGTAGAGGGAAGTAGTTTAGATTCCAAATCCCTAAGAGGGTCGGGGAAGGCTTCAGACAAGATTGGGCACATTCAGAGTGGCATGGCCATAGGCAGGCCAGGGAAGGCTTTGATAAGAAAGTGGTATTTTAGCAGACACCTGGAGGAAAAATAGAAGTCAGAGTAAAGATAAAAGTTCATCACACACAAAGGAATGTCATAGACAGGGGAAAATGTGTGTCTTCAGGAAACTGAAAAAGGGGAAAGGGCCACACCTTGGTGAGGGGACTGAGTGGCACTACATGAAGCAAGAAACATAGACAAGGGCATCCTTGCTTAGCAACTGCTGGCTTAAGAAAGCAAATGTGCAATGACAGATACAGGCTGTCTGAGGGAAAAATAAGTAAGAAATAGGAGCTTTCTTGGAGCATCATCCTTTGCTTCAGTAGAAAGCGCAGAGTAGACTTCCAATTCTGATGAAAGCTATTGTCAACAGGGAAAAGGCAACCTTAGGAAGCCTCTGTCAGGGGTTCCGTGGACACTATGATAGAGCTCATGAGATGCAGACAGCAAGTGCTAGGCTGAATTGGGGGCACATTCACTCCAGAGAGCTATGAGGTCACCAGTCACTGAGGTCATCCAGTACATTTCCAACAAAATAGGCTCATTCCAAACTAGCTCTGCAAATGAGCAGAAAATAAACTCTTGGAAGCAAAGCAAGCACACCCACTTTAGCAGAATAATTGAATTTAACACTTAGCATTCCTCTTCTTTTCTAAAAGTAATAATCATAAGTACAATTTATGAAGTGCTTTCTGTGTATGTGAGAGCATATACTACCTTTGACCCTCCCTGCAAATCTGTTAGGAAAATATTATCATTCCCTTTGTGAAGATGAAATGGAGGCTCAGCAAGATTAAGCAGGTTGCTTAAGATCTCATAGCCACTAAGTAGTCAACATTGGGTTCAAGGCCAGGCATCTATGAACCCAACATTTTTAACACTATATATCATTCTCTTTTTGTATAAATTTTATATTGCTGCTGTAACAAATTTCCACAAACTGAATGACTTAAGACAACAAAAATGTATTCTCTTACAGTTCTGGAGGCCAAGACCTAAAATAGATCCATAGGGCTGTGTTCCTTCTGGAGGCTCCAGGGGCTTTCTTTCTCTTTCCAGCTTCCAGGGGCTGCCTCCATCCTTTGGCTCATGGCCTCCTTCCTCTACCTTCCAGGCCAACAGCGTAGCATTTTCAAATATCCTTCTTCTGTCTGCTTTAACCCTCTTGTCCCCCTTTTATAAGGACCTTATAAAGACCCACCTAAATAAGGCCCACCTAGATAACCCAGGATAATCTGCCCATTTCAAGATTCTTAATCACATCTGCAAAGCCCTTTTACCATTACAGGCAACATTCACAGGCTTCAGGGATCAGGACATGGATATCTTTGAGAGGTCATTACCCAGCCTACCACACCTTTCCACATAGATTCTCAAAGTTTTAGCTGAGCCTAGTGACGGAGTTCATTACCATTAGGGTCCAGTTGTGTAGCAAGTGCTTCCTTTAAGAGAAAAGGTGAAAGTTGTCCACTTAATAAAGAAAGAAAAAAATTGTATGTTGAAGTTGCTAAGATCCAAGGTAAGAAGGAACCTTCTGTCAATGAAATTGTGAAGAAGGAAAAAGAAATCTGTGCTAGTTTTGCTGTCACACTTCAAACTGCAAAAGTTACAACCACAGTGCATGTTAAGTGCTTAGTTAAGAGGGGAAAGGCATTAAATTTGTGGGTGGAAGATGTGAACAGAAATGTGTTCTAATTGATAGTGATCAGGTTTGGTACTATCTGAGATTTCAGGTATCCATGATGTCTTGGAACATGTCCCCCACAGATGAGGGGGTGACTACTGTACATTTAAAATAAGCATTTATATATTGGTGATTGAATCTCCCATCTTATTATTGGTTTTTTATTTGTCCCACAAATAAAGCAAACAAAGTAAAGTTTTAGGCAAGATTCATTTCTGGAGCTAGAGATATTCTATTATGGAAAAGAAGATTGCTCTACCATAAAATATAGCAATTTAAAGTTTTATAATCCCAATAACCTCAAAATATATAAAGTAAAAGATGGACATTATAAAAAGAAATAGACAAATGTACAATGAATAAAATATTTTAACACAACTCACTTAGTATCTGGTAAAACAAGTAGTCCCCCCAAAATCAGTAAGTATCTAGAAGATCTGAATAAATACGAACTGATTGGATTCACTGACAGATGTGTTTGGCTTTCTGTCCCCACCCAAATCTTATGTTGAATTGTAATCCCCAGTGTTTGAGGCAGGGCCTCGCAGGAGGGGCCTGGATCAAGGGGGTGGTTTCTAATGTTTTAGCACCACCCAGCTTGTGCCGTCTGGTGATAGAGTTCTTATCAGAGCTGGCTGCTTAAAAGTATGTGGCACCTTCCTCTTCACTCTTTTACTCTGCTTTGGCCATGTTAAGACCATGCTTGCTTCCCCTTCACCTTCCCATGATTGTAAGTTTCCTGAGGCCTCCCTTGTCATGCTTCCTGTATGGCCTGCAGAACTGTGAGTCAATTAAACCTCTTATCTTTATAAATCACCCAGTCTCAGGTAGTTATTTACAGCAGTGAAAGAACTGACTAATACACTGACACACCCACAGCACTATACTACTACTGCAGTACACACATATTTTATGAGTGCACATGCTGCTGTTACTACAGTTGGCCATATGCTGTGCCATAAAACAAGCCTCGCTCAATTTCAAAACAAAAATGGATAATAAATATACAGCTGAAATTCCTCAAATGTTTGTAAATTATGAAAAACGCTTCTAAATAAACCATGAGTCAATGAAAAAATCACAATAGAAACTATCAAATATTTTAAACTAAAAAAAGAAAATACAACACATCAAAACTTGTAACATGCAGCTAAATCTATGCTTAGAATAAAAATAATCTGATGCTCATTTTAGAACTATGACAAGACAAAAAATTGCTTAAATCTCAGTAATCATCTTAAGAAATTATTTTTTAAAGGACTGAACAGCAAGTAAATTTAAAGAAAGCAGCAGTAACAATCAAATAAAAATAAGAGCAAAATAAAACCAAAAGTTGGTTCTTTTAAGTCTAATAAAATTGACCTCTGGCCTCAATCTACTCTTCGTAATTTGAATTAATGAGCAGAAGATGTTGGAAGGAACAGAAATAAAAACAAAACAAAACAAATAAAGAGAGATTTCCAAAACTAAAGTAAAATGCTATTTTTTTCAACAGATATATCCTCTTGATTACATACTGTTTGACTCTAAATGCGATTTTTGTTGCTTTAAGTTAAATCTACAAGGCTGTAAGGGGCCTAGCTGAATCTAGTATTTAATTTGAAATGTCTATGAAAAAATACAAGCTTTTTTATGGTAAAGTATAGCTTTAATTGTTGAGCTTTGATTGTTCACTCTTTGTGCTGAGGATTGACTTGGCAACAGATTTCCAACATTGGTGACTACTGCTGAGGGCCAAAGAGGAGGCGTGTAGTCCCGCTGGATCTGAGTGCCCACTGAGCATGAGGGTGGATGGTAAAATGCATGAGTGCCTCTTGTTACAAGAAAGTGTGAGAAATGAGGGTGGGAGAGACAAAGCCACAGCACAGGCACTTGCTGATTAACTAAAATTTGAAGCTGTGAAATTGCAGCTACCCCTTTAGTGAAAGAGGATATAAATGGCTTAGTTGCCTTCAAACTAGCAGAGATTTTTTAAATGGAGGGATGCTGATTTTTTTTTAAAAGAATCCATTTGTAAGCTACCTGTTAAAGCAGGGGTCCTCAACCCCTGGGCCATGGGCCAGTAGTGGCCTGTGGCCTGTTAGGAACTGGGCAGCCCAGTATGAGGTGAGTGGCCAAACATTAATGCCTGAGCTCCACTTCCTGTCAGATCAGCGGCAGTGTTCGATTCTTATAGGAGTGCAAACCATACTGTGAACTGTGCATAAGAAGGATCTAGGTTGCGTGTTCCCTATAAGAATCTAATGCCTGATGATCTGAGTAGAACCGTTTGAAATCCATTGCCATGTACCTTCCATTCATGGAAAAATTGTCTTCCACCAAACCAGTCCCAGGTGCCAAAAAGGTTGGGGACCACTGTTCTAAAGAAATCAATCTCTTTGCTATTATTATTATTGCTAAGATGGAGTCTTGCTCTGTCACCCAGGCTGGAGTACACAATTTTGGCTCACTGTGACCTCTGCCTCCTGGGTTCAAGTGATTCTCCTGCCTCAGCCTCTCAAGTAGCTGGGACTACAGGCACACACAATCATACTCTGCTAATTTGTTGTATTTTTAGTAGAGATAGGGTTTCACCATGTTGATCAGGTGGGCTTGAACTCCTGACCTCAAGTGATTCACCCACCTTGGCCTCCCAAGTGCTGGAATTACAGGCATGAGCCACCATGCCCAGCCCCACTGGCTATTATTGAAGTGTTCCTTTTCTTTTTCGATCACATCTATGAAGTATATTGGAGAAAAAGAAGAAATAGAATGGGAATTTCGACAGAGCATGGTGACTCACTCCAACACTTTGGGAGGCTCTGGTGAGTGGATCACCTGAAGTCAGGAGTTAAGACCAGCTTGGCCAACATGGTAAAACCCTGTTTCTACTAAAAATACAAAAATTAGCCTGGTGTGGTGGTGGGCACCTGTAATCCCACATACTCGGGAAGCTGAGGCAGGGAGAATTGCTTGAACCCAGGAGGTGGAGGTTTCAGTGAGCCAAGATCACATCACTGCACTCCAGCCTAGGTGATAGAACCAGCCTCCATCTCAAAAAAGAAAAAAAAGCATGGTGATTTCTCCACTAACTTCGATGCTGCTGTGGTCTTGATCTCCAGGTCAATGCAATGCCCCTGAATCGCTTCCATTTGCCAAGCCTATCAACCCAACTGATGAGTCTCAGTTTCCCATTGGGACATATTTAAAGTACAAATGCCTCCCCGGTTATTACGGAAGACCGTTTTCTATCGTCTGCCTAAAAAACTCAGTCTGGACAAGTGCTACAGACAGCTGCAGACGTAAGTAACTCTGGAGTGGGCACCCCTCTGTTAGTCACACATCTGTAAGATCTGATTCAGTTTGTTCAAATTTTGTAACTGAGTTACATATGATAATTAGTTTACCAGGGTACAATAAATATGAGAATAATTCTTGTAGATCATACCTTGTTACCGCTTTGAGTTCCTGGCACCTTCTTTACAAGTTTATTTCGTGAGAAACAGCTATCGCAGGATATGATCAAGGGAAAATCCCCATTCACTGGGGGTCTCCCAGTTTCATGACTAAAATGAAGTAATGAATGACTTGGGACAAGAAAAAGAAGTGGATTAAATAACCAAAAGATGAGACAAACTTGGGCTTTGAGATCTTTGGATTATACCAGTTGAATTGAATTGCAGATGGTAACAAAGAAAATTTACATTTTTCTGGGAGGTATAATATGGGGATGAAAGAAATCTGAAGGGAAGTTTTTTTGAAAGGGAGCTGATCCTGAAGGCAGTCTGGTGAGTTTCCTAAAGGTGGCAAAAATCTATGGAACCATCATAACTGTGTGTATTTATCAATAAGCTACAGGCAGGTTGAGACCTGATATACTAAAAAAATAGTTTACTGTGCTTGGCTCCAAAATTCTGTTTCTTCTTGTAGGTAGATCATGTCGTAATCCTCCAGAACCTGTGAATGGCATGGTGCATGTGATCAAAGACATCATGTTTGGATCCCAAATTAATTATTCTTGTAATAAAGGGTGAGTTGGTAGCAACATCTCTTGGTTCAAGAGTTCTAGCACAGCCATACTGCCTTCTAGTCACATCTCAGAAAGGACAACTAAGCTATTAACATCTTCTCTTCAAAGGCTTGAACACAAGTGTTTAGCTCCTAACTGAAATGAGCAAAGGTATGACAAGATCGGGGGAAAATCATCCGTATCCTTGCTGGAAACCAAGGCAGTGCATATATGAAAAGGGCGGCATTCGTTGTGTGGGAAGGAAGAAAATGGGGGAAGATTAC